CCTTGCATCGCTGCCCTATGCCTGGCCTTGCCGCAGCGCATGCATGCTCAGCGGGGCTGCCATTCGCCTGCCTGCGGCGGCTGTTGCAGTGGCGACGACCCCGGCACCGCGGCCTACATGGCGGAGGGCGAGGGGCAGGAGGCGGATGCGGAGCAGCTGGTGGGGCTGCCTGCCCAGTTGACGCTTGCGCCGCTGGGGCATGGTCACGCTTGCTTTGCTGAGCTCGCTGGCTGCCCTGGCGGACGCACCCCGCCCTTGGCGCAGGCACCGCCAGCCTGCGGGCCGCTAGGCGGAGGGCCGCCAAGCGCAAGATGTGGGTGGTGGATGACGAGTGAGGCTGGGGCGCCTGCACTCGCGTGTTGCACTCCCCTGCCAGTGTGTGGGTTCTGCATGTGCTATTGATCGATGTCTGGATCTGGCCGGGTCCATGCCAGGCCTCTGTAATGCACGCCAAAACTCCTGCAGTGAAGATTGATACTCCTAGAACACGGCGAGTGTCCTGCTATTGCCAAGCAGCCGCCAAGCCCATGCCGCCGCTGCCAACCCTCATTTTTTGTGTGTTTCTCGACCCTGTTTTCCTCCTTCCCGTCCAACCCGCACCGGGGGATTTGGAATGAAGGTGACGCCTTGCATCATCCTCCCCCTCGACTCTGAGCCTCACCCACAGTGCGTCCTGCACTCCCCTGGTCCTGGCCGGGCTGGCTGGGGTCGTGGTCGTCATGCGGCCATCCGGCTAGGATGTGCAGCCGGGGCACCGGCGGGCTCATGATGCGGGCATAGGGCCGGACACTTGAATTAACAGGGACCGCCGGCCGGTTGGTGCGCTCGGGGGCGAATCCGCCAGGGTGGCGGTGGCGGGCCGCCATTCATGTGGGCGGCATGCAGCAAATGGGCCTCAAAACACTGTTTGCATGAGCTTTGCAGTGCCTTGGTAATGGGATATTTCATGAGAATTGCGTCTTGGGAGTGGCAACCACGGCCTGCAGGAGCACCAGCCGGGTGGTACGCTCCCGTCTGTGCTCCGTTTGTGGTCCGAGAGCGGGAGCGTGGCCTGTCCCTGAGCAAAATAGTAGTGTAAAAGAGTGCTAGTGTAAAAAAGTCTCCACTAGTAGTGTAAGAAAGTGTTTTCCATTCAATTCTAGGCTGCCGCCTTGACCGCTCGGCCACGACTGCATACTATATCGCACACGGAAGTACGCCACCGCAGTCGGCAGGATTCGAACCTGCGCGGGTTTCCCCAACAGCTGTATAGAATTCCCAGCGACGCTGGGTAGAACATGGTGTGCCGGTAACGATTTATTGACTATTGTCCTTGTTGGCATTTCCGAAATCATGCCCCAAAAATTCCGTCGCGGCCGGGCCCCGCGCCCCCCTCCCGCTCCTCTGGGGCCCTTCTTGAGCAACACCCTGCCTTGGGGACGCAGGACGAGGGCGACCGCAGCATCGCCGGCTCGCTTGGCCCGCCAGCCGCCCATTCTGCAACTGCCCGCACTCGAGATGGCCTCCTGATGATGCTTGCGCTTTTGCGCTTGCCCCGTCCTCCCCTTGCCCGGTCTTCCCGCGTGCCGCCTTCGCCTTTGCGGCCCCCGCCCGCCCGCCTGGCCGCTCTCCCAGCTACTGTGCCGGGGTGGGTGGGCCCGCTTTCTGGTGGTGGTGGTGTGCGGGTCCTCGACCTGCCCCTCCCCCCCACTGGTATGCTTGCCGCCCTTGGGCTGGCCATCAGGCGCCCCTCGCCTCCCTCCCCGCCCTTTGCGCCCGACCGCTCCCTGAGCCCGCCCTTTGCCGCCCGGGCGGTATTGCATGCTTTCATACAGTCCAGAGCTAGTGGGCACGGCTTGTGTGCCCCCAGCCCATTAATGGGCATTGCCTCTGTAACATCACAGATCACAGATCACAGATTCCGTCGTTGGCCGCGACGTTAAATAAGGAGCTGGATGAGTGCCGGTGGGTGATACCACAGGCACGAGTTCGAACCCCAGCCGGGACACTAGCTGGGACTTTGCCTCACGGCACCTTCGTGGCGGCATCTGGGCGGCGGACGGCTGCCCGGCAGACCGGCATGGCGCTTGCAAGACGGAGCCTCCCCGGGATGCCATCGGCGGCCAGATTTTCCTCGCTCTGGACAGCCGGCAGGGTTAGCGGGTTCGGCCCCAGCACATTAATGTGCCCAATCCCTGTAACACACACACACACACAAATTTTTGGCGGGGCGGAGCCGCCTGCTCCCTTTGCCGGCCTGCCGCCGGCCCGTCCCCCCGCGATTGACCCCACGCCTGCCCCGCCTGCCTCTCCCGCTGCCCTCCAGGCGTGGTGGGACACCTTCACGGGCCGCCTGGCTGCGCTGCCCACTGCCTCGCTCACCGACGCGGAGCTGCTGGTGGCTGTGGCTGGCGTTGAGCGTGCTGGCAGGGCGCCTGTCGCTTGCGCCGCCTCCCCTGTGCCCGCCCTCCATCCACTTGCAGGCATTGTCGCCCTGGGGCAGGCGCGCGCCATTGTGGTGCACACCGGCGCGCGGCTGGACGCCACCATCGCTGCGCATCAGGCACTCGCCCCCGCCGTGCACCCCACCAGCTCTGGCGGGGGCCATGGCCTGGGCTCCCGGGGGCGTTCGGCCTGCTTCCCGCCCCCCGACCGCGCCCGCTCCGCCTCCCCCATTGCGCGCTCCCGCCTGCTGGCGCGCTCGCATGGTGTGCTGCGTGAGGGCGTTGTGCACATGCGCGGGGGCCTTGAGTTGTGGGCGGAGCGCCGCCTGCGCTTCCCCCCTCGCGCCATGTCGCCCTTTGATGACTACCCTACCCCTGCTCCCACCCAGTCCGGCTCCGGCGACTCCTCTGGTGCGGCCGGCGACGGTGTGCCCCTGCCTGCTGCTGGGCTGGTGGTGGCCGGCCCCGCTGCTGCTGCGGCCCCTGTGGCAGTTGTGGCCCCCGCCGCTGTGGCGTCCGCGGTGGCTGCTGCGGCCGTTGTGGCTGCCGGGTCCCGGGCTCCCTCCCCTTCCCCCCTGGCGCCTGCTGCCGCTGCCGCCGCCTCCGCTGGCGGCCCTCTGGCGCGGCGCCCCCTCCTGGCGGGTGGCAAGCGGGGCGCTGTGTCCGACATCCGCCGCTCTGAGCGCCTGCGGCGCGTCAGTGCTGATGCCCCTGATGTGGTCATGACTGATGCCGCCTCCTGCTAGGCCTGCCGGGCCGGCGCTGCGCATCGGCAGCGTCAACGTCCGCGGGCTGACGGTGCCTGGGCGCCTGCAGGCGGCTGCCGCCCGCTGGCGTGCAGCCCGCTATGACGTCGTCTTCCTCCAGGAGCATCACCTCACCTCCCGCCTGCACAACCGTGCCGCCATCCAGGCGCTGGCCGACCTCGGCTGGAAGGCTTTCATCTCCTTCAGCAAGCCGGGCCGCGCTGGCCGCCCGCGTGGCGGCACCGCTGTGCTGGTTCGCCGCGCCTTGCTGCGTAGCGGCGAGCTGTCTACCCCCACCTCTCATCACTGCCCTCGTGGCCGCTTTACGGCCGTCTGCACCACCTGGTCTGGCCACCGCCTGCATCTCTGTAGCGTGTACCTCCCCAACCAGGCCCCGCCCGCTCTGCTTACATCCATGCCACCCTGGGGCCCTTAGCTGCCGCCGCTGCTGCCCGCTCCCAGCGCCTGGTGTGGGGCGGCGACTATAACTTCACTCCTGATCCCCACCTTGACCGTCGCTCTATTGCCAACGTCCCCCTCCGCCGCTGCACCTACTGCAGTGATTCCTCCTCCCAGTCCTCCTTCTCCCTCTTCCTCCCCGGGCTGGTGGATGTCTGGCGCGTGCGCCACCCTGGCCGCCGTGCCTTCTCCTTCTCCAACGGGTCAGTGTTTTGCCGCCTCGACCGCATCTACGTCTCTGACCCGCTGCTCCCTTTCACCACCAGCCCCACAGTGAGCCCGGCCCCTCTGGCCGACC